AGCCTAGTGCACCAGCAGAAGCAGCGGGCATTAAGTCAAACATTCTTTCATGCCCTCAAGGATCAGACCAGTGTTTGGCAGCACTGAGTGTTTGTATTGCAGTAGCATATGTAGTGTTAACCTGAAGCAGAGCAATTAGCAAGCTACTAAGTAAATAAACATACATTACCCACTAGGTACTTAATTTCAGGTTTCAAGTAGCTCACTGCCATTTTAAAGTAACGAAATCTTTCTTCAATTATGGTTTGTAGAATTGATAGGAACAGATGCTGGAACACTAGTCACTTACTTGCCCTAGAGCAAGCTCAGAAATGCACAGTAGGTCTTCATGCATTTACACCTCCTGCTATCTCCCTGCTCCCTGACTGAAGATGAATGAAGGAAAACACTGCCTTGTACCACTTTTCAGAGATCCCCATACTGCATGCTCCTGACAGAAAACAAGCATCACCTAGGCTACATCCTTCCACACTGCATTAGGAAGGAAGGAAAAGCTAGAATTGTTATTAGTCATTCCCCTGGATTCCCCACTGACATGCAAACAGCTACACATTTTGCTTCTTTTTAATTCAAACTCTGGGGGAGGGGTAAAAAAAAGAATAAAAATCAGTAACTGCAAACACAAAACCCCAAACCAAGTTTACTTCGCAGCTGCTTACCCTGCCATACAGAGTATGTAATAGTGAGTGTCCAGTCCTGTCTGCAACACAACAGCATCTGTGAGCCTGTCCTCCTTTTCCAAACTGAAGACTCTGTCCACCAAACGCACGCTGATAGATTTTTCCTTCTTCAGTTCTGCTGAATGGCATCCCATAATTTTCCAGCTGTTGAATCCAAACGCAAGCATCAGAAACTCATACGCACAACAACACATTCCAAGTAAGGAGATCTCCTTGGAAGCTAGGCTGTGTTATAAACACTTAGAGCTGACATCTGTTCCATCAAGTCTCACCTCTATCACTGCAGCTGGGGCTTGCTCAGTCATGTAGTGTATGGCATCCTGGTCACCCAGCCAATCAGACCCCTTCACTGTGTCATAGAAATGCCACCTCCAGTTGTCATCCTCCATGTTTCCCAGAGCAGCGTTGATCCCTCCCTGAAAATGAAAATCCATTTTCCTGGAATTATATTACTGAAATACAGTTTTAGTATGTTTTCCTAATTTCTGTTAAAAATCAGATACCATTTATGCCTCTGTGTACAAGAAACACAGTAAGGTCAGATTTAACATGGCTGCCAAAAACCTGTGCCATTTATGTTTCCCAATGGCTGTTATCTTGTTCTGTTTTGTGTAACACAATGAACTGCAAAGTTACATGGAATGCAGTGAAAAAGCACTGAATAGAATCTAAATATATATTGCCCTCCAAAACAGTTTCAACTAAATATGCAGTATTTATAGAAGGAAGCAAGGCCTTGAAAGGTGAGTTCGTGTGCATATCCAAACCAGCTTTCTGACAGCTGGCATTTTTTAAACATTTGTTCTACCTCATTTCTTACCTGGGCAGCAACAGTGTGAGACCTGGTGGGAAACAGCTTGGTAACACATGCTGTATTAAACCCAGCTTCTGACAAACCAAATGCAGCCCGCAGACCTGCTCCTCCTGCACCCACAACTACTGCATCGAATTCATGGTCCACTACTGGATATTGTGTAGAAATCTGGAAAAAAAAATAAATCAGTTTGTTACGATGACAAGTATTTCAGGCTAGGTCAAACTTAAGTTTTGTGGAGACACAAGCAGTATAGGTTTAATGTTCTTAACAGACTCTTGCAGCGAACACTACATCTGTTATATGCTCTTGGGTGGAAGCCATCGTTAAAAAAAGCCATGCATTTCACCAACTCAATCTCACTGAGTATTTTAACAGATCACTCCACTAAAAGCCAAGTATCTGGTTGTTTCAGGTCTCTCAAGTATTATGTGTATTATATCTTAAGTAACAGATTGGATAAAGAAGTACAAACCTACCGAATCAGAAACCTTTGTTGAAGCATTTTTTTTCCCATAGACTGTGAAGTGCAAGTTGCGAGCAAGAGTCTGGCATGCTGCTGGCCACTGTGGAAAGAAATCAGGACAACTTTATAATGGAAAAAACGTTTCCACAGGGAAAACTTTCACCATTCTTGGCTACCCTACATTTGTAACAAACCTCTCCTGACCGCTTATACCACATATTCAAGAATATTCTATCTATGTTAGAGCTACACACAATGAACTTCTGGCTTTCCCAGATTCATACCCAAAAAAAAAAACACCACTCTGACTGCATGAGAGAAGAGCCTCCAAGTAACAAGGTGTCACAGACTATCTGTTATTCACTAACAGTAACCAGTCTCTCGGACCTATCTGCACCTGCACTAACGGAAGAATATGTTTGCAATTAATGCTGTAGTATTATTGCATTTTTTCCATAAGTAAACAAAGATGAAGACAACTTTATGGGAATCACAGAAATTAACAGAAGATACCTCTCATGTCAAGCAATCCTCAGAATTTGAATGATTTTGGATGGTCAAGAGTAACAAAGACCCGAAAAAATTAGGTGGTAGAGAAAGCTGTTCTGGCTCATCACTGCATCAAAAGCCAGAAATATTTTTCTTGTTCTCATTCTCTATTAATTAGTGGCCAATTTAAAGCCATCTGTTAATATCTAAATGAAGCACAAGGGCACAGTTTTCCCCCTTCTGTAATATTACTCCCTCCCCCCGGCATGTTCAAAAACAAAACAAAAAAAACCCCACCACTCAAACCTACCCACTATCCAGTCTTTGCTTTGATAGGTTAAAACAATCATAATTTTAATCTCTGCAGTATAAATCTCCAATTTCTTGGAACCTGGTATTCCTTTTTTACACCATTCAGAAAAATACACATACCTCAGCATATATGATTGATGAGACCAGCAACACAAAGCCATACTAGTGACCTGTGCAATGACATCAGCACTTCTCTAGTTGAAATATTTAGGATACAGTTGTCCTTTCCAGGAACTGTTATAGTCACAGCTGAATGCTAAAAAGCAGATCGTCTCTCCCTACCACTTCCAAATGTCCACCTCTTCCCCCATCGCTGAAGTAAACTACAGTACACTGTCCTCAACCTAGTTTTATCATCTCTTACACTAGTTCCCTCAAATTATCTTCTTGCGTAACAGCAAATCTAACTTGTCATCATATTTGCTAACACACTTCTGGTTTTTATAGCCATCTTTAAATAAGATCGGTCTTAACACCTATTCATAAGGACTTTTACTAGTACCTTCCTCCAAGCAGTTACTCTCCCCCTTCCACCAAAAAAACCCCTAAAGAGCTATAAACTGTGCTTATGCCCTAAAGCCCCAAAAGAAGTTGACCTAATTCCTTTATTCCCTCAGAGTAATCAGCCTGCTGCAATCTCCAACCAGAATTCTACCACAATGCCCTGCAACTAATGTCCTTTTAAAAAAACTTTGTTATTTTCTGAAGTCGTCACAAAGTTATCAAATATATTTTTCATCAAATGACTCAAGAAATAGATGATAAAAAAATAAAACCACACACACAACTGTTTAGAAAATTGTTTTATGAAAGTTTAGATGTGGAAAGAAAAGCAAAATTTTCAGAACTGCTATTCCCATCCACATACACTTTTTTGGTAAAGCTTGAAGTAAGCTAAATTTTGTTCTGAGGAAGTCTGAACAGAAGTCCACAGAGCAGACGGTGATGTTACACCAAATTTGAAGGAAAAAATGATCATACAAATCCTGAATTGTTATGCAACTACAAACATCGTGGCTCTTATGAAATTAAACCAGGGCTATTTCACTGCCATGTAAACATCATGACATGCTTTAAGCCTTTCCCCCCTCTCTCAATAGGCTGTCTTTTCTGCACTTGCTTTATAAGACAGGGACAACTACAGCTGCCTTTACAAGGTCCTTTGCCTGTGCGTTTGTTTTCATAATCCCAAACCTATTATGAAAGTGATGAGTCCGCTTCACCATGGAGGAAAAACAAGCCTTCCCTCAGGACTGCTTACAGATGAGCTAAAACAAAACTGTTTAAGCAGCATGCCCTGGAAACAACTGCTGGTCCCATTTAAGCGACAGGCAGATAAACACCAGCTTCCAGGCAGCTCCAGAAGGAGCCAGCAGTAAGCTTGCTACCCGGGCGCTGGGACGGGAAGGTGCTGCACCCCCCAGAGTCCTGAGGGCCTTTCCCCAGCACACCCCGGGCCCGCTGCCTTCCTGGGCCCCGCGGGGAGCCCGCCCACAGCCCAAGGCTACGGCGCTCGCTTCCCAGCCCGGGAGGAGCCGCCCGGCCGTGCCCACCACCAGTTACCACCCGGAGACCTGCCCCAAGGACGGCCCCGCTCCGCAGAACGGACCGCAGGGATCGAGCCCGCCGAGGGGGCCCACGCTCCCGGCTGCCCGGCTCCCGCAGCCCAGCCGCGACTCCCCGCCCCGCGGCGGCTGCTCCCCCGCCAAGGTCACGGGGGAGACAGCGGGTACGGGCCGCCGCCGGCCGCAGCCGCGCACCGAGCCGCGGGGGAGAAGGAGCCAGGAAGGGGCCAGACACCCTTCCTCGCCACGGCTGAGGGGAGGTGGTGCGGGACACACGCAGGGTCCCCGGGCCCAGCCGGCCCGTCTCCCTCCCGAAGCGGCTTTTCCGCGCCAGCCCGCCGGCCTGAGCGCTTCCCCTCCGCCGGGAGGCCGGCAGGAAGGCAGGGCAGGCCGGAGCGGAACGGGCCGAGGAGAGGCACTCACCGCCCGCGCCGCCGGCCGCAGCCAGCGCTTCGTCAAGCCCCGCGAAGCCGCGACCGCCACCGCCATTTCGCAGGGAGCCGGAGGGACGAGCGAGGGCGCAGGCGCGAGACGACCGCTAACGGCGCCGCCACCCGCAAGGCCCGGCGGGAGAGACCAATTGTGCTGGGGGGGGGACGGGGGGAGGAAGTCACAGGCTCAGTGCGCGCGTGCCTGCATGCGGGGTCCTTTTCCCTCCAGACTTCACCCTCCTCATCCTCATCCGAGCGTGCAGGACGGGGCTGAACGAACGAGAGCCCTTAGGACTCGAGTGAGACCGTTTGTTGTCCCCTCCGGGCTCTTCCCCTCTTTCCCGATGCGAATGGGCTGGCCCGAAGGGGGCGGGGCCGGCAGGTAAGTGACAGCGGCAGCGCTGGGCCCTGGCTGCGGGCTGGTAGGTGGCGGTCGCGCTCCGGGACAGCGAGCTGGGCTCTGCCCCTCCCCGGGCTGGCGGCGGGGCCGGGGCCGGGGCCGGGGCCTGCAGCGCGGAGGGACCTAGAGGCCTTGGGGGAGGCAGCGGTGACGGTGGCAACGACATCAGCTAACGTGCCGCTGGGGCGGGGAAGGGCGGTGGGCGGTAACGGGGGCCCGGGGCGACAGTTAGGGAGAAGGCCGGGGAGCTTCTGGCCGGGTCAGAGCGACTCCGTGCGAAGTTGCCGAGTGAGGGGGACCGGCGTCTGAGGGCCTCGGGCAGAAATAACTGTCCCAGCAGTTCGTTGTGGTGCAGTGAGAGGTGAGCCCTCTTCCTGCACAAGTAAGGCCGGGTGTCTCTCCTGTGCGTCTAAGGTGCCTTCATGAATAACTTAAATGACCCTCCCAACTGGAACATCCTGCCAAATCGGCGAGAGCCCGGGGATGAAGGCAGCAGATGGAACTACGCCTTGCTGGTCCCCATGCTGGGCTTGGCCGCCTTCCGTAAGTAGTGCCCAGGCCTGTCTGCTGGGGCTGGAGGGCCTGGCTGTGCCCAGGGGTCTCGCCCACCAGCCAAAGGGGATGCTCTGAGGCAGCACAGTGATACCCTGCCTAGGGATTTTCTTTGGTCTGCTCATTTATCATGTTATAAACAGTAAGCACAGTTTATAGTAGTAACGCAACTGCCATTTTTCACACATGGAATTGAATCCGTATTTACTAAGTTCCAGTTTACAAAATTCTTGCAGATGAGTGGGCATATGAAGTCCTGGAGACCCCAAAGGTAACGACCCAAAGGGACTGCTGATGTATATTTATTTCTCAGAGCGGTTCCTGCTTTGGAAACCTCCGGTTTGTTTCCCCATACCTTTATTTTCCTCCTTTAATCCAAGAAATATATGTATTAGTAATAAAAGATTAGGGGAGATTTTACTTCAAAGGAAAACACCATCATTTAGATTGACTTACTGTGAAACATGGACCCACTGAAATACATTTTGTGAGACATGTGAATAGGAATGAGTACCACTGGGGAGGGCCGGAACGAAAGCTTGTTACCACTTAATAGCTTCTTTAGAGACATAATTAATCATACTCATCAATGCTCTATGTTTTATACTCATGTCTGAAGTCTCATTTATATATGATAGGTTGGATCTGGACCAGAGAATGTCAAAAAGAAATAGAAAGAGAAAAAAAAGAATATTATAAAAAACATTCATCTTTACAAAAAGACCTGGAAGCCAAATACAGAGATACAATCACAGAAAATCGTCGCACGGTTGCTCACTTGGAGCTGGAGCTTGAAAAGGAACGCAACAGAACCCTGAGTTACCGTGAAGCCCTCGTGTCCCAGAGTCGCAAACTAGTAGAAGAAAGAAGGATGCTAGAACAGGAGCAGGAGAAGTTAGAGCGAGAAAAACAAGTCCTTTTGCGCTCAGGAGCAGCAGGTAACTTGTACCAGAGTTGTCTGGCAAAGGAAGAAGAGTGGCAAAAGAAAGCCAATATTTTACTAAGGGAATTTGAAGAAGGACTTAAAGAAAGACAGGACATCTACTGCAGTCTTGTTGTACCCAGAAGCCAGAGACTAGAAATAGAGAAAAATCTGCTAGTTAAAGCAGCAACTGATCCTGTTGCTATGGCTCTACACATGGAAAGTGGCTTAAAAGATATTTTCAAACATGATAACTACTGTGGCAATATGCTGAACAGAAACAAAAGTCAAAATGGAAGACTTATGTGGCTGTATCTGAGATACTGGGAACTAGCTATTGAACTACAGAAGTTCAAGAGGACAGAAAAGACCATGTTAGGAAAACAGTAATTAGGGGAACTAATGGGATTTCACGTGATCCATCATGCATAGTAGGGATAATCACAGTTGTAGTCTGAAGCTGTTAAATTCTCCTGCTGTGCTTCCGTTTCTCCTCCTTGTTGCACTTGTATTTGCATGGGACATGCAGTGTTGGTGCCTTTCCTTTCACTGTCTTAACACCAGATGCTCTGGTGAGCTATGCATGCTCTTAAACTCTGTGAGTGTGTTTGGATTGCAGACTGCTATGTAGTATAGAGATATGTCAACTTCCATAGGTATTAGAAGCAGCAAAACAGAACTACGTTTAGAGTGATATATCTGGCTGATGGTCATACTCCATCAACAGAGAAGGGTGATCTGTCTCCCCCAAGTGGGGTAGGGCATTGTGCTCCCTATCCCTGATGTTTTACATTATGTCTCAACACTATCTTTTTTGTTTGTTTAAGCAAGACTGATTTTGAAGCAGATACTTGGAAGAGACTGTGTGAGCAACATAAATGTATATATGTACATTTCTATAAATATATATGTGTGTGATTGTGTATAAATGTATGTATTAGTATTCTGAGGGGGGAATAGTATGATTATGTTTCAAATTACTCAGTCTTGCATTGTCTTCCAACTTCATACACAAATAGTACTTTATCACGGAAACATCCAAAAGATGTCAATTGAAATAATGCATAAAGGAACAGATTGATGAACGTCTCATTGGAGCTAGGAATTTGTGTTTGAATACCAGAGAGTATATAAACTCGAAGTTATAGTCTCATCATACTGGAGATATGTTAGGAATACTTAGGTTTTTCTTTCAGTCAAGGTTTGAGGCACCTAGCAGTGTGCCTCCATTATGGATGTCACCGTGCTGCTGCCTCTGCATCCCAGCGCATGGCCCAGTACCTGGTTGTCGTGCAGGAACCTCCTGCTGTGAGTTACAGCCGTTGTACCTGGCTCTGGTCCTTGGACAGGTCTGGTTTGTTACTCACAGATAGCAACCTACATGCAGCCTGCACTGGTAACCACTGCCTCCCTCCCTGACTGTCTCAGTTCTCCCAGAGCTGAAGTGTGCTTGTCCATGACTCTTAAATTTTGAGCTTAGGGCTCACCACTTCATGTACACATGACCAGTAAAAGCCTACAGATACACAAGTTTTGCAAACTTTTAAGAAAGAGGGCTTTTTACTTTAGTTAGCACAGTAAAATAAACAGATCTAGATATTAAAAAAATAATAATACCCCATTGCATTTCCATGCTTGAAGCCCCTAAAAACGTTGAGTACCTAAACGTTGAGAACCCTAAAAACTTTGGGTCCTTGTAGCAGTAGGAACCACCTTCTTTTCAATTGTGCCGTGTATTTTGGAGCATAACTTTTTTCTTCCTCCTTTCTGATGCAGCTTTAGACCTCAAAGGGGCAGTGTTTGCCCTTTTGTTTATAATATCCAGTCTTCTCTGTTACTTGACTTTAATTAGTGTTGCTAGGTTGTCAGATCTTTAATTAGCAATTCCTTATTTCCTGAGGGCTAGACTTGACAAACACATTTACTATAGGCAATCAGCTACTGCATGGCTCAGAAGCAATCCGGCTAAGTGAATGCTCATCCAAGTTTAACAGAGAACTCCAGCAGATTCATTTAGTCTAGGCACAGAAGACAGCAGATAAATCTTTTCAAGTAGTGTGTGTGACCTAACACAGTTACTCACCAAAAATATCTAACATGAAACAAAATTCTTAAAAAGAATATGTTTCCCAACTACTCAGTTTTCCAGTTGTGATTTTGCTCACCTTGGTGGTACTAATTATAATGTTGTTTTGATTTATTAGTCTCTTATGTACTGATTTTTTAATTTTTTTTTTTAAATAAAGTTGTAGTAGACAGACCTTAAAAAAAAAAAAAAGAAAAAGATACTGTCACAAACACCAGAAATGCCAAAATTTGGATGCCAAGAGTATGCAGGATGGGAGATGAGAAAGCAATTGAGTTACTACTCATCTGTGACAGCCTGAGCCAAGCTGCTGTAACTGGCCATATGCACATGCCCTAATTGCCCAGTAGAACAAATTAGCTTGAACAACTAATTACCATGTGTGTAATTCCTCCAGGATGTGGAAGGTGTCTGACCACACAGCTGTGGTGCATTTCATATGTACGTACAGACAGTTGAGCAACTTGGCTGACAAACAGTAGCCAGTGAATCAATGCCGATGTAGTTAAGACTCATGCCTTGACTTTGTACATATTCATGAGTTCTTAGTATTAAAAGATCACATATTTTATGCTTTTTCATGGTTGTCACTGACATCACTCAAAATGTTTAAAGAAAATGTGATCAAGAGGGTAAAAGACTTTTTTTTGGTATAAATATGTAAGTTGAAGCATCATATGCTCGATTGTACAGGGTTGGATGCAGAGTAATAAATGTTTGATACTTGCTTTCACTTCTTTAGGAGTGCCAATTATTTGTACAACTAATTGTTGAACTATTGTTCATGGACACTTTGCAGATCAGTATATTAAGACTGAAGAGTTAATTTGTTTTGAGGAGGATTTTTTAAAGTGTGTAACTGGTGTAGAAGCACCCTTCCTGTTAGTTTCTACAAAAACTCCTGTTTGCTGGTGTGTTAATTTTTGAAATACTCCGCTTTTTGTAGGTCATTATGTTGAAAGTTCTGTTGTGAGCTTTATTTTGCCCAACAGCTATTGTTCTGGGTTGGTTATTTGTTTGGAAATGCCCATGTATATGTAGAATGCAAGAATAATTTGTTTTCAAAATATTTAATGAACTTTTTTTTGGTTATGAAAATGGTCACTCACCTGTCAAACAATAACCATTAATAAAAATCCTTGCATATTTATGAACTGTTTTGTAACTTGGGCAAGGTGGGTGGGAGTGGGATTTGCTATTTTATTCCAACTTTCTGAGCAAATTGCACGATTTTAAGGTTTTACAAATTGGACAGTTTTTTAAATTGGCATGTAAAACTTTTGGTCTTTGTGCTGAGAAGAGAGTATGTTGGAAAGGTGTTTTTCTTTCTTCAGAAAGTGCGGCATTGTTAAACAGGTAAGTGCACCAGCTTTAATGAGCAATTAAAGATGACCATCCGGCAAAAGACGGGTAATTCCTTCTGCCTTCCTCCAGAATCCCTCACGTGTCTCATTCTGCACATCAGCTCCTTTTTGTTTCCCCGTGTGGATTTTCCTGTTTTGCTGCTTTCTGTGAAGAACTACAACCCAGCCACTCTAGGACCGTGTTCAGACACTCTGGGGGTCCTTGTTGCCTTCATAAAAGATCTTGAGTCTCTTTGTATTTGACACAATCCTTTACACTTACCCATCCTTGTTTTCACGTGGAGGATGCCATCCTTGTGAAATACTGGAAATGAGGAAAAGAGGCTTGTTATCAAACTGAGAATAAGAGCTGGTATTAGATTTGTTATTTTAACTCCAGTTTAAAATTATTACACTGTTCCAAGTGTTGGAGTTTGGAGTATCTTTTTAATGCATATATTGTTCAGGTGGGTCACACATCTGTGGGTCACGGCCTTCCCTGAAAGTTAGTAATACGCAGGTTGGAAGAGGTGTCCCAGGGCTGCAGGTTGCTTTCCAGAAGAAAACTCAGTGCTTGGAGGTCCTGATAGCGGTGCTGGGTTGGGTGGGTGGGCTCCAGATGTCTGTCCAACAGACATCCAAGAAGGAAACGTTCTTCAGGGAAGCCTTCAGCCTCATCTGAGTGCTGCTGGAGTGTGCACTGAGAGCAGCTACACACATGGGTTTCACCACTTCACAGCTAACTTGTCTCCAGTCCATAGCCCACCGGGCAGTAGCTGTGCTAATGGGACTTTCCACATTCAGACAGAGGCAAGGAGATGCCCTGAGACATCTCATCCTTTCAATAAAAGCGAAAAGCGTGTTGTTTTTGGTGTGTCTGTTGTGCTGTGCGGTTGCTGTCCTGGGTGCACACAACCCAAAGGGAAATACAAACCACACTCTGGACTTCACAGAACTTGGACTGAGTGCTAGAAAAGGGAAATCTTCCTTAAAAAATGCTCCTGGGAGGGGTGGGTTTGGGGAGAAGAGGAGTAGCCCAGAGGGCCTGACCTTCTTTTGCTCATTTTGCCTAAGTAGGAGCTGCCAGAAAACCATGGCGATGACATTTCTTGCTCAAAGGGATGCTGCACTCTGGAAGTGCCAGCTCTGCTCCAGCTCCCCTTTACCTCTTCCCTTTCAGTGCTCCTGGATGAGGGTGAGGAAATAGCACGAGTTCCTCTGTGCAGGATACAAGGCAGGAACAGTGGTCAAGGGTATTGTGGCCAAATCAATGGAATTTAAGCTATAGCTGTGATAAAAGGATGAAATTCAAGTTTGTAATTGCAGTGATGGTGCAGCTGGATGTGAAGGCTTTGCCTGTGTGCATGCCAAGGACACAAAGTCATTAACTGACTGCCTGGTCCAGGGCTTCTCCAGCTAATCACTGTGTCGCTGCCACAGCAGGCAGATCTGAAAAGAAGTAACTCACAGAAATTCAGGGGAGCTTGGCGAGGAGGAGACCGAGTGATGTGCCAGCCACTTTGCAACCGCTGGAAGGTGCTCAATATCAGCCAAACAGTGAACCGGTGCAAGGTTAGTGGTAAAATAGCCCTGAAAGTGCTGCTGTGTATAATTCTGATGGCAACAACCAAATAACTCAAAGTAAATGGTGCCCCTGGAAACAAAGAATCTGCAGAAGAGTTTGAAGAGTCCAAAGGGGTTGTGAGACCTGCTGTGACGGGCTTTCACTGTCCCGGACCCCCAACAGCCCTGTGCTCCAGCCTGATCCCAGCCCGAGACGTCCAGCTGCTGGAACAGCACCTCTTCACCCTTCTCTTTACAGCTGCTCCTGAGGAGTTGCATTTCTGAGACGCCTCACTTCTGAACTTTACGTACACAATCAGAACTAAATCCTCAGCTAAAGCGGTGGGTGCTTCGCATTATGAACCACCACCTCCCCCTTGTGGCTAACGGCTCTTCTAGCCAGCAGCCTCAGCGGCACCTTCTGTTACCATGAGGTCCTCCAGAGCACATCTCCAATACTACATGGATTGCTGGTCCAAACACGACTGCAGCACAGTAATGAGAAAGATGAGAAAGAAACGTGGTGTTTGGTGACCAAAACAGAATGAACTTGTCTCCACTAAAGTGGGTATTGCGGTAGACCTCTATGCAAAGGTGACATGCAGGAGCTGGATGTAGTTCAGCAACCTATTAGCATCTCATTGTATACTACAGCACTGGACAAGAGAACAGTAACCACCTTGATTAAAGAATACTGTTCCTTGCTTAATGAACCCGGCAAGCAGCAACCTACAGTTGTCAACATGTTCTGCTGCCTGGTAGAGATGCATGTGATGAGAAAGATGCAAGTTATAGCACTTTACTGGCAAAGAAATTCAGGGCGATGCTAGCCATCATGAGATTAGATGATTTGGTGCTGTCCACAGAAGCATTTCTACACCTATCCACCTTACCTGTAGTTCCCCTCAAAGAGATCCCAAAGGTGAAATTCATTCTTCAAAGATGAAAGCAATATTTTGTGGGTCTTCTAAATGTATGCAGTGCAATATTAAGGACAGCATGTCTCCCTCCCTGGTGTCAATGAAAGGAACAAAACAAAGAAGAAAGATGATGATGCTGGAGCTGATATTACTTCAGTGAAATATTTATACACAAACTGAAGGAAGTATTATGCAAAATACCAGTATACACAAAAATCAAGATTGTGCCTATTTCCAGACAATAAAAAGAAGAAAAGTGTCACATGGGCATCAGTGTTAGCTCAGTTCTGGATGAACTGCACAGACATGATGTTCATAGCTTGTTGCTTTTAATAATTCTGTGGCTAAAGACGCTGCTACTTCCACAATAAACACAGACTGGCAATTTCTAGGCTGAAGGAAATTCCCAGACACCAGAAAAACACTTCAGAAAAAGATGCTTGTGGAAGTTTCTTCTCTGCAGTCATACTTGCTGCCACAAAAGGACTTCTTTCCCATCTGGAGAAGTTTATAATTGTACAGAAAGAAATTTAGCCTCCAAAGCTTATTGGACTTCAGGGCAACAAAGATGATTAGGGGATTGGAGAATCTCCCTTGTGAGGAAAGGCTGAGAGAGCTAGGGCTCTAGCCTGGAGAAGAGAAGGCTGAGGGGAGACCTTATTAATGCTTATAAGTATCTAAAGGGCCATTTGAGGGAAGATGGAGCCGGACTCTTTTCAGTGGTTCCCAGTGACAGGACGAGGGGCAATGAGAATAATCTGGAACATAGGAATTTCCACTCAAATATGAGGAAGAACTTCTTTATGGCGAGGGTGACAGAGCACTGGAACAGGCTGCCCAGGGAGGTTGTGGAGTCCCCTTCTCTGGAGATCTTCAAGACCCACCTGGATGCAGTCCTGAGTAATGTGCTCTGGGCAATCCTGCTTTGGCAGGGGAGTTGGACTAGATGGTCTCTATTCCAACTCCAACAATTCCATGATTCCATGATTCTCCAAAGCCTTCAAGGTATCCCTGCCTGAACTGCTGTGGGCTGATAGCAGCAGCCTTGGAGCACACACACATGGGAAATCAAATCATGCCAGCTGAGGAGCTGTGTCTTTTGGTTACTTAATCAGGTAGAGTTTTAGAACAACAGAGCGTAAAACTTAGATCAAGTTAAAAATCTACAGAACATTTCTTGGCAAGGTAAACCCCATAACCACCTGCTGTTGATTATTAGCCTTAAAACTAAGTGACTCTGAAAGATTTTACCTGCACATCTCTTGTTCTAATATGATCATTAGTGTGCCCTAGGCTGGGGATTTTGAGTCTCCTCCTGATCATGGGGTTTAGTGCTCCCTCTTTGCATGCCTGGTCGAGGATTTTACCCATTGGCAGCTCCTAAAAGGATTTTGTGTTTTCTCTCCGTATTTTAAAAGATGATCAAAGCAGATTTTGCCAGGGACAGGCTGTCAGGGAACATTTAATTTAACCTCTGAATTTTCTTCTTCTTCTTCACTTTTATTACATCTTCCTCACTCTATTCCTACCACCAGCTCTAGTAGGAGGTGTCTCTGCCCATGACAGGGATTTGGAACTGGATGATCTTTAAGGTCCCTTCCAACCTAAACCATTCTATGATCCTATGATTCTATGCTTCCAAATAAGAATCCTGTGCTTTAGGCATTTAGCTGTACAGTTATCACGCTCTTTACATTTCTATCTTTTCCTGTTTCAGGCTCATTACACAATCAAGAGTAATTGTGATTGCTGTATACATCACTTTGGCTGCAAAGTAGAAGCTGACTGAGAAAATGACTGATTAATGCTGGTGAGATATTGCTACAGAATCACTAGTGTAAGAGATTTCACACGAATATCTGGTACGGTACTAAAAGAGGTCAGAAAATAATGTAGTTGATTGTAATAGCATGGAATATTGTAGGGCAAGATCGGAGAACAAACTTGGGTTTATGATTAATTGCCTTTAGCTGCAACTCTCTGTAAATATTCAGAGTTACAAACTTGTCCTATGTCATACCGGTGATGATGGAATCACAAGAAAAGGACCATGTTGTATTTCATTCCTGAAACTATGACTGGATGCAAACCACATGTAATGCTGCTACTCTCTGCTTTTTTCAATGGCCTTAAATTAAAGGAATTGGGTTTCTTAAAGAACAGGCTCCTGCCCTGTCTTTCTGGTTGCTTCTTGTCTTCTCCTTCACTGGGCTCAGCCAAAAGAGGTTACCCCAGTGCGGTCCCCTCCAGCCCATGGTGGAGGGCAGAAGAAGACAGGTTCTTCAGCCAGGTCCTTCAGTCAGTCAACTCAACTCATTCACAGG